GGAGGGGGAGGGGAGAAAAGAGAAGAGGGAGAAAAGAGAAGAGGGAGAAAAGAGAGGGGAGAAAAGAGAGGGGAGAAAAGAGAAGAGGGAGAAAAGAGAGGGGAGAAAAGAGAGGGGAGAAAAGAGAGAATACTCGCGCGACAGCACGGAGATGGCAACGGAAGGAGAGCGAGACAACCGCCAGCGCACCGAAGTCATGGACTTGCTGGACTCGTAGCTGATGAGATCCGGGCGATAGGTGTCCAGAAGGGCCGCGAGCAGGTGCCCGTCATTGAAGCTCTTGAAGAAGTTCTCCACGAGCTACGCCGAGGTCCGGGGAAAGGTCGAAACTGTCAGTATGCAGGAGCAGGGGGGGGGAGGGGGCTGGCCCGCATGCAGGGCCACCAAAGGTAGGGGAGGAGCGCACGCCTGACAGGCCGAAGGCCGACACCTTGTCCCGGACCCACGAAAGGAGGGCCTCCTTGCCGGTGTGATCACCGAAGGTGATCCCGTCCACCGTGGACCGGAGGACGATGTTCCACACGAGGTCCATGGTGACCGAGGCATTGCCATTGACAATGTCATCCGGCGTGATGCCCTCGCACTTGCCCTTGGTCCTGCGCGCCGGGGGAGCGGAGGCACGGGGGTGGGGGGGGGCGGCCGAATGGAAAAGGAGCAGACCGAGATCAGGGATGCAGGCGGGTCAGCACCGGGCCCAAGGGGGGGGGGGGGGGGCACGTCGGGGAGAGAGGGGAGAGGGGGGGCGAACGCCCGCGCGCGCGTACGTCAGGAAGTGGATGCCCTTCTCCACGTTGCCCGTGTGGATGAAGCGCATATGACCCTTGTCCGGGCGCGGCATCGGCTCGCCCATGATCGGCTCCATGATCCGGAGGAGGGTGGTACCATCCTGTGTGTGTGTGTGTGTGTGTGTGTGTGCGTGCGCGCGTGCAGAGGAGGAGGCGACCGGAGGGGAGGGGGGGGCGCAAGATAACGGGTGACATAGAGAGTTAGAGCACAGGCCCGACCATGCCTCGGATGGCTGGCGGTCGGCGATGGCAGCGAAGTGAACCCCGGCCCGCCCATGCCCTCTGGCCCTGGTGATAAAAGGGGGGGGGGAGGCGGACCTGCAGCGCGACGACAATGTCATCAAAGGGGGCCAGCTCGGGGGAGACATCGTCATCCGCCCCGTCGGCGGCCGGCGCGGTGGCGGCCGGCGCCGCGGAAATGCGGAAGTTCACCCAGCGGGTGAAGGTCACCCGCTGGACGCCCTCACTCCACTGGCGGTGGACCTTGTTCTGGCCGGCGAAGCGCCGGCTCGTGCCGGGGAGCTGGAGCGTGGCCATGATCTCCGGGTGCGGTGGGGGGGAGGTGGGAGAGGGGGGGGTGGGGGTCGCGCCGGTTGGCCCGGCAGCTCGAGGGAGGGGGAGCAGGCGCGGCCGGGGGTGCGCGAAAGAGCAAGAGAGGGGGAGAGAGATAGAGAGAGAAAGCACGAAAGGGGGGGAAGTGCGGAAGAGAGAATGCAAGAGGTCCGAAAACGAGAAAACTCTGCCCCGGCTATGGCGCGCGAAGGGGAGGTGCGCGTGCGCACAAACGACGGCGGTGGCGACCCGGTGCGATCAGAGAGGGGCGCGTGTTAGAGGAGGGAGGAGGGAGGAGGGGGGAGGAAGGAGGGAGGCGGGGGGAGGAAGGGGGAAGGGCGCAAAAGGTACGTGTTGAGAAACGGGGATGGGCGAGAGTATGGTGGGCACCCCCCGGTAGGGCAGGGGGGGCGCCTGGCAGCAGGCGTGACTTCAGTCTGTGTGTCTTCCACCACCACCACCACCACCACCACCACCACCACCACCACCACCACCACCACCACCACCCCCGGGCTTGCTCTGGGGGCAGCCCCCGGCGCGAGCGGGAGACGATGGATGCCGAGCCCCAGGGGAGAGCTCTTTCCCCCGCGCACACACGCTCGCCGGCCCGGCCGTCGTCTCCGCCCTCCGTGTCCCCCCTGCCCACTCTGCCCCTTTCTGGGCGGCGCCCCCCCCCCCCCCCCCCCCCCCCCCCGGCGCCCGGAGGGGTGCGCCTCCGGCGCGCGGGGAGAAAGAAAAAAAGAGCGAGGCAGGGGGGGCCTTCATTCCCCCCTCGGCCCCCGCCGGGCCTCCTCCTGCGCCCCGAAGTCTCCGCAGCACGGCACCGGCGCGCGGGAATGAGTAATAGGAATGGGCCGAACGTGCTGGCCGCGGGGCGCGAG